TAAATTTTTTTTCAATTATCTACGTACGGTATCTATAGAGTCTTGTAATTGAGTAAGTATGTCCATGTTAATAGAGGAAGCTTCGACTAAATTTTGCGAATTTGAAGTGGGGAAAGAACTTTGCATGAATGAAAAATTTTGATTTTCTTCAATTATTAAAAAATAATAATAATTTCAAGATAAAAATTTCAACATAACGGCGTATATAAAGCATTTTAACACGTGATAAATGTTTGTGTTACATTTCTCGGCATATTTAAATTAGGAGATGTGCCCAATTATTTTTGAACGTTTGTCGGACTAAAATTGCGCTAGCATTAACGTTAACGCTCAAAGTCTGTCAAACTTCAAACTATCGAAAATGGATATTTCCGAGATCACTACAAGCACTTCATCCACTAATGGAGGTGAGTTCCTACAAGAAATGAGTTTGATTTTTTTCCGACTCTTCTCCCAATCGATAGATCTTTTTGAATCAACCAATTCATAAAGATCTTTCGTAAAAAACTTTGAGTTATTAAATACTGTTGGTAAAAGCGGATCTTTCAAAGAATCTCGACAAGTGTCTAAGATAGCTCACCGATCTGGTTTCTGTTTAATTGCATAACTATACAAGAATTCTTTCTGATCTAAATTATTCGCGATAACAGACGTCGACAATCTAACTGCGCAGATTGAAAATCTAGACACCCAAGAACGTAAGAAAGATTAAATAACTTTATATAGTTGATTTGTAAATTGATTTTCTTGATCTAATTTTAATTTTTTTTTAAAAAAAAGCAAAACACAGATCGTTACTAGAATCGAGTTATGAGGTTAAGGTTACGAGTGTCGACGATGAACCTCTGCTTTCTGTAACGAAATTCGAAGAATTAAATTTGTAAATAATTAATATACATACATGTGTATAATGTTTATCAATACGATGTTAAAACAGTTTGAAATTTTATACTGAAATTTGAATTTTTTCGGTCCTCGAAAATTAGGAGCCCAAACTTGTTGAAGGGTATATATGAAATGGGTTTTACAACTCCATCAAAGATTCAAGCAAAGGCGTTGCCCTTGCTTCTCAAATCTCCGTATGTAGTGTTAAATAAAAATATTGAATTTTTTTTTTTATTTCATTATCTAGCATTTTAATGGTTTAACTTTCTCAGACCTCAAAATATGATTGGCCAGTCTCAATCCGGTACTGGAAAAACAGCAGCGTTTGTGTTAACTATGTTGAGTCGAATAGATTATAATTTGAAATCACCGCAAGTAATATTATGTCTATATTTTA